AAAATCCGACAATTATCTGATCGTTGGAAGAATTTCCAAATCAATGTGTTTTTCCCACAAAAAGGCGCTCAAATTTCCTATACAGATTTAGGGTCCCATGTCGACTCCAGAAAACAAAATATATAACCAAAATTTCCAAGATTCTAAAACGGATAAAAAAGTAATATTTACATAAAAATTCTTTGATCTTTCATCTTAATAATAATGTTTTGATAAAATTTTGTTTTTATTACGTTTTGTGCATTTTTTTTTACATCCGCATGATGTAACTAGCCATATGGGCTTGTTTAATAATAATTTTCATAGAAGTATTAATAAATGGTACATTACTTTATGCATTGGTAATATAATATATCGGTAATTTTTTATGTAGCTTCCATGTGATAATTAATGATGAATATAGTTGAGAATGAACGACCAATATTTGTCTGCTTTTAGTAACATAAACTACCAAGTCATCGAATAGGATGGTTCTTGTTTTCGATTAAAATCTACGTTTCCCATCAAATATACGCTTGGGTGAGTGTGTATACAGGCTAAGAAAGAGGAAAAATCTTGATTGAAAAAGAAATGTTTTCTGTTCACGATTTACTCTGTTATTAAATGGATAAGTACATTTAAAATTCAAAATATTCATTACCTTGTAAAAGTATGAAACTATTTGGCTTTTCGGAAAATAATTACCTATTATGAATTATTAATCAACCAACCAGAGCAGAACCGAAGTTCAATGGTAGGAAACTGCGTATATAATTAAACACTACGTCGTTTACAGTTCGTTTCTGAGTTTAATTGGGAAAACTTGCAAAGATGAAATTTGGGTTACTCGTGAGGTTTCGCTTAGCACACAACGTTAACCAGGAATGCCATCATTTCATTTTTACATCGCATTGTTACAGGTGATAAAAAATGTGTTTTGCGTGTCCACAGAAAACGGAATCGACAGTGGTTATCACAAAATGAGAAACCAGTGCCAACACCAAAAACCAGAACTTCGGGTACAGAAGTCCTTACTTTATGTCTGGTGAAAAAAAAAATGAAATCTGTTATCCATTATGAGCTGTCGGAACATGGAAGGACCATCATTGATCGGCTAAATGAAGTATTACGTCGAAATAGTCCTGCAGCATGAGAATGCAAGGAAAACAAACCTAATAAAAAATCAGATCGTTAAGATGGCATGTTTTTTCACTTAGTCCATACTCATCAGAATTAAAATTTACAGAGTTTCATTTGTTTCGACCACGAGAATATTTCATAAGTGGCAGAATATTCAGACACAAAGAAGTTGAAAACAGTCATTCAAACATTTTTCGGAGAAAAATTGCCTTCTCGTTGGATTGCAGTCGTTGAAAATGTTGATTACAATTTTTATAAAAAAAATATTTAAACAAATTTAGCTTGCATTCTTCTTCATATGGTTTCTGGTAGAACATAATTACTTTCCGAACATCATGACATATACAACGTTTATCTACAAAGAAATTATATTTAAAACTGTACTTTATGCTTTCATGCTTTAATTAGTTAATTATGTTTTGAAGTCGGTTATTTCTCCGATCAGCGGCGTTTCCCAACTCTGGTTAACTGCTGTTAATGTCCTTAAAATCTTTTGAAAAAAAAATCACTTCGTCAAGGAGCCAAAGAGATGAGTACAGCTAGAACAAAGACGACTACATCCATAAAGATTCTTTCTCACACCTTCCTGTCATCTTAAAGGATCATAACTGTCAACACCAGTAACAACAAGCAGACTGAGGTGATGCACATAGAATCGGGCTAGGGAAGAAAGGTTGGCTGGGTGGTAGTGTTGATAATAATAATAACAAATCAGCAACTGCGAATGCTGACTGACTACAATAAAAAGTTTTCAGATCCTCCAAGGTTCAGGACATCGCCAAAAGCAATGCGGGTTCATTTACCCCCAATAAGCCATAGGAAGACAAAAAAAAAAAAAAAACAAAAACAAAAACAAAAAAAAAAAACGAGATATGACTCATTGTAATGTTTCTGATTTATTTCTTTTTTCACTTTTGTGTGAAAAAAAATATTAAATTTAAACTCTGTCTCTTTATGATGATATTAAAATGAAGAATTTATTAATATTCATATTTATCTTTTTTCCGTCTTTTGTTGCGCAAGAATGGAGTCCTAAGAATTCGGAGAGAATCATTAAGATCAAAATACTGTTTTATAATTTTATTAAATGACTTTTCCCGTGTGCGCGCATACGCACATGCGTATGCGTTGATTTGAAGAGAGAAACGAAAGTAATGTTCAGCCATAATCGAAATGAACAGAAAGATACCAAAAAATCCAATATGAACGAATCATGTGAAGGTAAATGAAAAACTAATTTCGTTTGTACAGAAATGAAAAGAGAAAGATTACATATTTAATGCAGATTCCTTCTCCAGATCAAAGTAACATCTCGCAGCAAATGCGCATGCGTGTCTATGCGATTCTATCTTTTTGTATGCTGTGTCTCTTCAAAATGTAGGCGTTCATAGCTCTCCACGGCTTCTCAGCAATACTTTCTCTTTTATGACTCCCACTGTCTCCACTTGACACTTGCACGAATTTGAACATTCTTCAGAATACTAAAGTTTTGCACAAATGAAGACGTATTCTGGTTATGAAAACATTTTTGACAATAAATAAATAAATAAATAAATAAAAAACACCCTCTTAATGGCAATGAATGAATGAGACACTTTTTTCTCCTTTATTTTGAAATATTTAATATTCTTTCTTTTGATTGGAACTATATGTATCATGGGTTGTTTTGTGATTTGTTAGTGTCTGACGAGATGTACGAAAAATTATTTTAAACATCTAGTTTGACTGGAAATGATCCCTCAATCAATTAAAATAGAATGGCAACATTAATATTTCGATTAATAAATTATTGAAATAAATGCTTCATAGCAATTTTACCTTTTTGCAAAATTATTTTGCTGTTGAAAACTCATCGATTAATTTTTTCTTACTACGATACATTTTCATTTCTTTTTCTTACCTTAAAAACTTTCTTTCTTTAATTCTTTCGTCTGCATACAGGATACTTCATACCCGAACGCGATTGAATTTGCAGTTGAGAGAGAGAGAGAGAGAGAGAGAGAGAGAGAGAGAGAGAGAATGAAAAGTTGTTAGTTTACGGAGTCTGATAATATCGTGATAAAAAAATAAAGGGACCTGCCTTTCTTTTCTTTCCTTTGCAACCTCCTACCGACCGTTCCCCTTCCAGCGCCACACTTAAAATTGTTTACTGCTATCCTTTCTCTCTTTTCCTTTTCTTACAATCAAGGACCCACATTGAATTTTATTTCGTTTTATTATTGTATTATTTTAAAACCAATGTCAACGGCCAAGCCAATCTATTCTCAACACCAGAGGAAACGATATGACCGGTACCCTCAAATGGGATCGGTCATCAAAAAACCAAGTGTGAGAACCAGTGAGGGTCTACCACCCCTTCACACTGTTCCCTCGAGTCTACTATTAATCTCCACGGACTCACGTTTGATACGTTGTAGCCGGTGCTCTCGCGCATGTGCAAGTCTGCTTTCCTTTCTACTTGACCGAATCGTCTTGTCACTCGTCCAAAAGCCTGACTGCCACTTAGGTGCATGTCATAATCACTCCTGCTATCAAAACCATACGGGTCGCAAATTAATTTAAACTTTCCCCACCAGTCAGGCGGTGTTTGCGTGCGTTTGGATGAATGATGAATGTGTGTTCGCGCACGAGACTGCATCACTAAATCTGCAGACCGGCAGATGAATTTTGATCAGAAATTTTCATTGTATAATGTTCGATCTGTTGGTTAATATTTACCATAGAATTACATTATGAAAGAAAGGCGATTATATATATATTTTTAATGCATTTCACCCCAAGCGAGGCGGTAGTGCAAATAGCACGCAAGGGGTTACAGAGAGTGGGAGCAAGAGTAAAGAGGCATTATAGAGGAAAGGATAAAGAGAAGGATAGGGAATAGATCAAGGCATCTGGAAATGTCGATTGGCATTATATTTGAATAGTTGGAGATTATAGCTATCAGGGAAGCAAATAAGAGGAAGGGAGTTCCACAGTCGAGAGGTGCAAGACATGAAGCTATTGGAGTAGAAGAGACGACTACATTTAACCGTTTCGACAGTGAAAGGGTGGGACTGAGATGCCGAGCTAGTGGCACGTTTAAATTCATGCAGTTTAAGAACTAGCGAAAGTAGCTCGTCGAAGCAGTTACCATGAAAGTATTTGTAGAAAAGACAGACGGAAGCGACGGCTCGTCTGTGAGAGAGCGACCGTAAACGAGATGCCAGAGCAGTGCCAATCACATTGCATATCCGTCTCTGGATTTTGTCGAGAACCTTAAGACGAACAGCGGTGGTTCCAGACCATTATATGACAGTAGTATTCCATGCAAGGGCGAATGGTTGGTTTATAGATTTGGAGAATGGACTCGGGCAAGAAAAACTTTCTGGCGCGACACAGGGAACCAACTTACGGTGGATGAAGCTATTGATTCAATGTATTTGTTCCATCTTAGGCCAGCGGACAGTGTGAGACCACGCAGTCGCAGAGAGTTGCTCTAGTGGAGTTGAGCATCAGACATTTTTCCTTCTTTATTTTATGATGGAAAAATAAATGTTTGTTGTGCAAAATAAATGCTTTTTCCTACCTTTATGCGACACACTTATTAATGAACTTTCGTATGTTTTTGATTGATTGATTTTTCTACGACTTATCAACCCTTTACAGGTTATTTGAAGCCAGATAATATTTTTAAATTGTAAGATTTTTTTTTAGGTAATAATGGTTTAGTGATACAAGTCTTACTAATTAACCCTCAGCTGTGGGAAGAAGAGATGGATTCATATAATTCCCAGGAGTATTTGCGCGTAAGAGAATATAACGAAACCAATGGGAATTTTGAACTCTGCCTTCCTATTCACAATTCCGAGTCATTATCCACTACACCACACGCACACCCAAGTTTACATCACCTGGTATCCCCAAACGGTCACGCATCTTTTTACTGACCAAGCTCGACGTTGCTTAACTTCGTTGATCGTATGGGAACCAATGTTTCAACGTGATGTAGCTGTAAGCAACTTCCGTATGCGTGATGAGGGTTTGTGAATGTATTTCTATTTGCGCGCATGCGTGTTGCGAATGTTTATTATCCGTTTGAGGGTTGACATGTCTTTTGCTTATGATTTTCAGCAGTTTAAATTCCGGAGCGAGTAAACGTAGCGATACATAAAAAAGTATCCGAATGAGTGTCTATTACAGCACGCTATATTATGACGGTGTCGATGATGTCAAATCGTTGAATATATATGCAATTGTTTCATCCTGATTTTCAAACATTTTACACCTACAGTCCGATTAGTGGGTGGGTGGAAGCCTGATTGTGGAGCCCCAGGTAGTGTTTTGGGGGCTTCGCTATCTTATCAACATTTGCTTTTTTTCTACCTATATTTATATATGTTACAAATTAAACTAAGCACTGACTATTATACGAAGAAAAAAATTTGCAAATTTTGACGTCATTCTGGCGGTTTTTTTTTGGTTTTTTTTCCAAATCCGTGAGTTTGTTATGCGCTATACACTATATAAAATTTACTATTTTTTTATCCATAATGTTGCATGTGTTAAAAAAAATTATTATTAACTTTTTAACAAGAAAAATCTCAAGTTGATTTTAAAAATTGCTGCAAAACTTTGTTGATCTATTTAAGATGGAATGATCTGTTATGACATATTATTGTACATAACTAGGTTACAATAAAATTTATATTTTATATGAATACTACCTTATGAAAATTGAGATGTAGTAGAGTGAGAGGGTGCATCATGGATTTTTTGGGGCCCAACGAGATCCTTGCACTGATCCTGTATGTATGTATGTATACAGTGTAACGGTTGTCAGCACAAAAAATAGAGTCGCCGATCCGAGTTCACATTCAGATGGACTCACTTCGTGCTAATGTCATCTTCATCTTGGACACGCTTGCTTTGAGTAGCAGCCAATCTATGGTGCAGGAATCTGGGAAAAGCTGTTTGGCGATTTCGTGGCAAACTATGCACCATTACCCTGTTATTAGTTCTTCTAATATGTAGTGGATAAATGACGAACTGGGAACACCACCCAGCCAAACTATAGTCGCACGTCAAAAACGTATATATACTAATTAATATATATATATATATATATATATATATATATATATATATATATATATATATATATATATATATCAGGAGTAGGTGTTTATCCCGTATTCCCTAATTAGGGTTGAGTTTCCGGTTCCTTTTAAAGTCTTTTTTCATTCTCTTTCACTCCCAGTAAACACTTGGGTCTTGCTTTTGATGAATTGATTATATATATATATATATATATATATATATATATATATATATAAGGTGGTGCTCGGATAGACCAAGAAGTCATTTTCAAAAGATTCTGGTATTTGGGCTGATTTACGGAAGTAGATCGGGTGCGAACATTCCGAAATGTTCGTATTGGGGCTTCTGAAGCGAATATCAAGCAGTACAGCATGCCGTTCCCAAATTTCTGGAGGAGTGAATTGCGTCATGGTGCTCTTTTTCTCACAGATGGTGCCTGACTCTACTATACTGTGAAGTAAACAAAATAAAAACAAACAACGCGCATGCGTGAAATTAAAATGTAAAATGACGACAAATTACCCATCGCATCGTGGAAAAGGTGGTGTTCGGATAGACCAAGAAGGGATTTCCAAAAGATTCTGGTGTTTGTGCAGATTTAGGGAAGTGGATCTGGTGAGAACATTTCAACACACGCATGAACTATATGTGTTTTTGTGTGTATAATATTACCTCATCACTCATCTTTAGGTAATGTACAATTCTGATGACGTAGTAGAAAAAGAAGTTTCTGATAGTGTAAACTTGACAAATAAAACATCCTAATTTATGTCTTAAATTAGTTTGGGCTCGCCGATAAAATAACATTATTTTTGTAACTGCATTGCATTTATTGTTGATGAATTTAAGATGTAATCATCTTGTTAGGATACCCCCACTTACTTCACAAAAAAAAAAACTGTCGCTAGGGGACGCTTCTTAAGCCTATGAATAGGAAGTGACATTCTCTGTCACTCTTTTTTTTTCTATTTTCCTCTTACACGCTTATGCTAAGATGTAGGTTGCACGTGGAGAAAGACCTTCCACGCCAGTGCACGCACGCACGCATGCACGCATGCATCTTTCTCTTCATTTTCATTGACTTTTCTCTGGGACTAACTTCTACACACACACACACACACCTTCACTAGGCTAAATGTTTTCTTCTTTCATATTCATTGTTTTGTCACACGCAGCAATCTTCTATTGTCTACGAATGTCTTTGTTTTGTTAATACATGCATCATCGTTTGTTCATATACATAGTTCTGTTGTTACGTTAAATATTTTTATTACTCGGACTCACATTCGAGTTCGCAATTATTGTTGTGGGATAAATATACCAGGAGACATGGTTTTTCTACTTAAACACGACTAGGACATCAGCAACAATCTATTATGACATGTCTTTAATTTGTATTAACGATTATTGCTGAAAGAGCCAATCAAGCTTTAGATAAGAATGGTGAAGCTCGAGCTGTTCTAGTAACAGACAGGTTTACAGACATAAAAATGATAAAATTAAAAATATATTAATGCTGACGAAGCCCTTTCGAAGGACGAAACCCAGTTTTTTCCATTTTGTCAATCATTTACCAACAATTAGTCTGATATATATATTTTCCATACAGTCATATATATTTCGCCCGGTAATGTTTAACTTTCGTGCCTGCAAAAAAAAAAAAAAATCAAAACAAAACAAAAGCGGTGTGTCAGAGGGAAGGTTATTCCTTTGACACCTACTGTAAATATCCTTTTAGTTTTTACCCACTCGGCAACATTTATTTACAAGATTATAAAAATATGTGAACCAAGTACAATGCAATATTTATTATTTACCTTTTATAAAGATTTATTATTTACCATTTTATAAAGAAGTAAATTTGAAAAGACATCTTTTTGTTCAGAAATTTATAAAAAAATATTTACAGAATTATAAAAATATGTAAAAAACCAATGGCAATGTGCAATATTTATTTTTACAGTTTTATAAATAATTATGAAAACAAAGTTTTTCTTCATAATTTTATAAAGGTTTATTATTTACTATAAGAAATATACTTTTAAAAATTATAAAAATTACAAAATTATCAAAATATGTAAATCAACTACAATGTAATATTTATTATTTACCATTTTATAAATGACTATGAAAAACTTTTTTTTTTATTCAATTTAATAAATAAACAGTGTTTCTTTTTTGTCAATTCTAAGGAATAAAGAAAGTGTATAAATATAATTTCATTCAGGTTTGCGTTTTATTAAAATTCTAATCAGTGACTTTAAAAACAATAATCATTGCCGAGGGAGTTAAAAGTGTTAACAGCGATGTCAAAGGAATAATTGTCCTTTTAGCACACCGTTTTTTTTTGGGGGGGGGGGCACGAAACTGCTTATATTTCTAATATTTAGTGGGTACACGGGTTTGAGAAGACTTTTTTAAACAGTGAAATTGATATCTGCCGGTCTTGGCAATCGAAACTTTCGGCAGGAATCAAATACATATGAGACATGTTCATGGGAGCAGACAAGGATATACGAAGGATAACGAGGGTGCGGGCGCACACACATTTAGAGACACGTTGCTTTTTATATATGTAGATACTTACTAATCAAATCATTTTCAAACAAATTATTAAATCAAGTTACAAAAGCATTCTAACAGCAATCAATATTTGATTAACCAATAAAAAACATTTAGTTATGTTGATGTTTCGATGTTTATTCGCACCATCCTTAGGGTGACTTCAAATGACATGTTTGTTAATCAAATATTAATTACAAAATAAATAAATAAAATGGTCGCATACGTAAAAGTTCGGAAAATATTTTTCTGATTTCTCGTGTCTTGCTGGAAATTTTACGCATCTCTCAAAATCATTCCACCAGGAAATAAAATCATATTTTTTTACCTTTGGGGACGCCATTTCGAATCTTAAGTTTATGAAACTTTACGTAGCATTTTCTATACGGATGCACATGCAATTGATGGAGTTTTTATTTGATCCGACAAATTTCTTTATTACTATAATAATTATATTTAGTGGATACACATGTTTGAGTAGACATCCCCTATTTTAATGTCCATCCAAATCGAAAGTCTTTATAAAGAAAACGTGCCTCCCAACAGGAATCTATAAAGGAAATGGAGGTTCGGTTCCCATCGGAGGCACATTTCTTTATTAAAACTTTCGATCTACAGGCTGGTAGACATTAAAGTAAAAATAGGGATGTCTACTGAAACACACATACCCACTAAATGTGATCCTGAATTGGCTCCTGTTCTCTCTAAACTCTACAATAAAAGCCTTGCTACTTCTTGCTTACCTGCTTGTTTTGAAATCTTCATCTGTAGTTCCAGTCTTTAAGAACTTAAGAGAACAATCTGATCCTTCTATCACCCTATTAGCCTTCTACCTCTTTTTGGCAAAGTACTAGACGCTCTATTCAACTCTGAATTGGTTAAGTATCTCACCTCACAAGGTCTTCTTTCAGATAAACAATATGGCTTTCGCTTCTCTAGCTCAACTGCAGATGTATTAAAGATTACTGCCAATTTGTCCTTGTCGAACCGATTAGACTTACTATTAAGACAGGAATAAATGGTTGTGTCATCAGCATAGATACCGAGTTGAGAACTGATGCCATCAGGAAGGTCATTGATGAAAATTAGGAATAACATAAGTCCAAAGATAGATTTTACGCATTTCAATAAGGTTTTTAAGACATTTTTAAAACGTTCTTATAGTCGATTTATCACCGATCCACCATTTTAATTTAGAAATGATTATAGAAAATTGAAGACAATTTAAAAATCTCTTAAAAATCAAATATCACGCCTAGGTATTTGTTTTAAAAAAAAAATTATTAAAATTAAGGATCAATTAACAGAATTTGGGGGAAAATCGCTTATTTTAGGCTTAAAATTTAGCGA